ATTAGTTTCATTTGGCATCATGTTTGGCACAACATTGTGAACCGAAGGACCTGTTCCTGTGCTGTACAGTTCTATGTTCTATGTTCCAAGGTCTTGCAAACTTTGGACAGGGACTGCTACAGCATCTGTAGTGTTGTGAATGGTGCTGTACATTTTGTGATCATCTGTGCACATTCCCACACTTATGACAGAATGAAGATTATTGATTAAGCAGTTGAAATGTTTGGACCTAGGACACTACCTTGAGGAACTCCTGCAATGATATCCCAGGAATGAGACGTTTGGCCTCCAACAACACTAACCCTCTTTCTTTTTGCTTTAACATTGGAAGTGCACTTTTAATGCTGAATTCATCTAGTTAAACAATAACATGGCGTAGTGACCCTTTGGAATAAGTACATCTCTTACTGTAATGCTACACGCTTCTATCCAAGTTCTCTTGTCTTTAGGGAAAGCAGAATGAAAATCATGCTGGCAATACAAGGCACAATTGTAAATCAACAATTTAATGTACAGAAAGTATTTATTTACAGTTATCACTGTAGAAGTCATACTTTTTTTTTTACCAATTACGTATTGCATCAATATAATAATGCCATTCTAGATCAGTACTACATTTCAAATTCACCGTTTCAAGATATCTGGTCATTTCTGAGACTCAAGGGGAATCCAGCAATGATTTGTCTCATAATTGCTCATTAAGATTTGAGATTACGATAGCTAAGTATAATCCCTGACCCCTGACCTCAATGTTGTAAAAACTGCAGCAAAAATGATAAACTGGCAAAATTCTGCTTAAGCAATACACGCAAAACTCAAAATGTTACCATCAGAAGAAAAATAGGTCAGTTTGGGGAATGACTGATAAGGGGTAGAAGAAACAAGTTTATGGTGGATATTAAGGGAATGGAAAAAATACTAAACATGTTTTAGGTCTAAACTTTTGCAAATGAAGTAAATTTTGTCATTAACCAACAGCGAATAATGAATTCTGGTAAAAATGGAGAATCGGTATACAAATTCTGTGAATCAAAGATCAGAAAAGTGTGAAGGAACAGAAATCATAAAAATCCGACTGACAGCAGAACCACAAATGTCATCAATCTGGCAGCAACCAAGAGACAGATTGATGGGTCACCGTTGTTCGTAAAGTCAGTGGAGAGACAAAGAAACATAGAAGTTTATGATCTTTTGGTTGTTGCTGAATGATAAGAGAGAACAAGAGATGTGAACTTAGCAGGAAGGTACACTTTTCATTAATAATATTTGGCATTTGACCACCATGTAATTGTTTATTTGATTGACACCTAGGAAATATCTCAGGTGACAGTGATAACCGCTTTTAGAGGCCGTTTGATTCCAGCATGGGTCTTGTTACTGTGAAATTTAAGATACATAAAAGCCATGCCTTTCTTTCCCTTCAGGCAGCAAATCAGTTGAAATTAGTTTTGGTTGGTTGAGTTGGAGGCCAAAAACAGCAGCAAAGCAGAAGGAAGAGATCTGGAGACAGAAAGCATAGTTCACAATAAGACAGTTTTGTCATCCTTTTAGAAGGGAAATAAAAGTTGTAAGGCACTTAAGTAGCAAGATGAATTCAGATGGCCACTCGAACACTAGCTCCCAAAGGAAGGGAAACAGATAAAACCACAAAGTCAAACCACACAAATGCTAACTATTCACATAAAACAGTCACAAAAGAAGAAATCCTCAGTATAAGGAACAGTGCTCTCTGAAATTCTATTTATGTCGAGAAATCTATCAGTTTCTATATTTCTATATTTAAAAGTAACATTGCCATTTGGGGCTTTATTTTTCTGGTTTTATAGTAGAACTCCAAAGGTAAAATTTTCAACACTGCTGAGATAGGAAAGGGACGCAGATTGGGTGGAAAAATATCAGCATGGGTCAACATGCCAGTTTCCCCAACTCTGGCATTAATCAATTTGCTATGGGTCAGGAAACCAGTTCGGATCATTTGAAATGCAAGACTGGGATTTTCTGATCAGCCAATTTCCTGAAGCAATGGGAGGGGGACAAATCAACTTTCTGGAGGTAGGAACTCAGTAGCAGGACGGGGTGGCAGGATCCAGGCAACCGTACAGGTCTTCCCTGCCTGGATGGGAATGAGGCTAAAATCAGAAAAATGAGGTCCCAAATAGCAATGTTGTTTTTAAATGTGTAAATCAAAGGTTTCTAGATATCTGAAGAATCTGTACAAAGACTCCACACCCCTACCCCTTCTCCCACATTCCTGTGGAAGTGATCTCTTAGTTATTTACCATCCATTGTAGCAGATGCCCCTTTGAAGCTGAAAAGCCTCTGAATGGCCCTCCAGCTTCAATAGCCCATCTATTACCCTAATTGGACAGGGAACTTGTCTCCATGTCAATCAAAGGAGTGCCTGGTCAAAATTGCAGTATGTCCCAATGGGTTGTTTTGAATGTAAAACAGACCCAAGTCCTGTTATCTGTCCTGAAAGTGAACTTTAGCTTCAAAATGCACAAATGAAATATAAAATGTTCTATGCATACATTTTCGCTCTTTCCCATAAAAACATATCTCCGACACTTAAGTCAGCACATTTGGTTCTGAAATATCTGACTGCAATGGAAAAGAGTATCATTTATTTTGTCTTCTGTGCAATAAAATTGATAATATACTGGGTATATCTGTACTTATAACATCCTGTCGTCCCACTACACTTTCAGTGTAAATACTTGCTTGTGGAATTTGACAATACAATTGGATTCACTTTTCCAAAAAAGAGAAAATGAATTGAGGTACACAAACAAATTAATTGTGGGATTAAATGCCAATACTTCTATCAAATTCTCACAAAGCAGAATTTAATTTATTCAGCTGACAGAAACATGAAGTGATGCATTTTGGTAAGATTAATAAGGCAAGGGAGTACATATTGAATGGTAGGACCCAAGACAGTAAGGAGGATGAGAGGGATGTTGGTGTGCATATCCTAGATCCTTGAAGTCAGCAGTACAGGTAGATAAGGTGGTTAAGAAGGCAGATGGGATACTTTCCTTTATTAGTCAAGGCACTGAATACAAGAGCAAGAAGCTTATGGTGGAGCTACATATAACATAAGTTATGCTACAACTGGAGTACTTCATGCAGTTCTGGTTGCCACGCTATAGGGCACTAGAGAGGATACAGAAAAGATTCATCAGAATGTTGCCTGGGCTAGTGCATTTCAGCTATGAAGAGAGACTAAATAGGCTAGGGTTGTTATCCTTTGAGCAGAAAAGGCTGAGGGGGTATCTGACTGAGGCTTACAAAGTTCTGAGGAGCATTGACAGGGTAGAAAGGCAGAAGATTTTCCACTTAGTAGAAGATCAATAACAGTTTTAAGGTAAGGAGGAGGAAGTTTAAAGGGGGTGTGAGGATTTTTTTTCATCCAGTGGGTTATGGATATTTGGAACTCACTGCATAAAAGGGTGGTAAAGGAAAAAAACTGAAAGCAATCAGGAAGAATCAGCCTGGTATCGTCTAATTTAATGGAATTCTTTGAAAGATTAACAGGCTGCAGATAAAGGAAGCATGTAGTTAGATTTCCAGAAGACATATGATAAGCTGCCATATCAAAATTTATTGCAGACAATTAAGGTTCATGTTGAAGAGGTTGGCATGGATAGAAGATTGGTTGACTGGCAGAAAACAGACAGCATACATAAATAGGTCTTTGTCTAATTGGCAAGATGTGATGAGTGGAGTCCTGCAGGGGTTAGTGCTGGGGCCTCAACTTTTAACAATTTACATCAATAACTTAGATGAGGAAAGTAAATGGTGTGGGAGCTACACTCACAGAAGGCACAGACGGTAGGAAGGACCATTGTGAGAAAGAGGTAAGGAGGTTTCACGTGGGTATGGATAAGTTGAGTGAGTGGGCAAAAATCTGGCAGATGGAATATAATGTGGGAAAATGTGAAGTTGTTTTCTTTGGCACGATGAATGAAAAAGCAGCATTTTGCTCAAACGGAGAACAACTGCAGAATTTCAAACTGCAGAGGAATATTGGTGTCCCAGTGTATGAGTCACAAAAAGTTAGTATTCAGGTACAAGCTGGTAGTCAAGAAAGCTAATGGGATGTTATCCATTATTGTGAGAGGAATTGAACATGGAAGTAGGAATGCTATGTTTAAGTTATGCAATTGAATGGATTGTCTTATGAGGAAAGATTGGACAGGCTGAGCTTTCTCCCCTGAAACTTCGAAAAGTAATGGGTAATTTGATTGAGGTTTATAAGGTCCTGAATGATCTTGGCAAGGTGGATGAGAAGGGGATGTTTTGCTCTTGTGTGTGAGTCCAAACCCAGGGGATACTATTGTACAGTTAGGGGCAGCCATTGTATGACTTAGATGAGTAGAATTTCTTTTCCCTGAGAGTTCTCTGGAATTCTCTGCCTCAGAAGACAGTTGAAATGGGGGTCATTAAATATTTTTAAGGTAAAAGTAGATATGTTTTTTGATAGGCAAGGGAATCAAACAGAATTTGAAATTCAGAGCACAGAGATCAGCCACCATCTTGCTGAACAGCAGAGCAGGCTTGAAGGGCAGAATGGTATACTTCTGCTCCTAACTTGTATATTTGTATGACTAGCAATTGAGAATGTCATTTAAAGTACAATTAAATAAATATTTGAATAGTAAAAGTATGGATGGGTAGAAGGAAGCTACCAGAAGATTGAAGTTGAATGAAGAAAATGCTGGAGATATCTGCTGAAGATATTGCCTGACCTAATGAATATTTTCAGCATTTGTAATTTTTATTTCATTTTTTATAGAAGCTGCAGTATGTTGCTTTTGTATGGAAATAGAGTAAGTAGATCCAGATGGGTGAAATGGTCTCCTGTTGTGCTGTCAACTCTATGACTAAATGAATTGCACACTCCATAGCTAAAGAAAAAAGTTTTCAACACTTGATTTGATTTGATTTATTATTGTCACGTGTACCAAGGTACAGTGATAAATGTTGTTCTATGTGCTTTACAGGCAGATCGTACTGTACAGGTGCATCAGGGATACAATTGCATCAATACTTATACTTGTGGCTCATTATTCCTGCATTGCAATTAGATGATATATATGATCACACTGACAAATTCTGTTTTGTCAGAAGGGCACACTACAAAGGATGTACATACCTGTAATGTAATTAACAGATATCTAACAATAATTATTGTAAATATTTTCCCCAAGTTAGGAATAAAAGTGTTTTGTTCCCAAAATCAATTTTGGTACATACTTCACAAATTACCAATATTACTGAGACTAATCTGCCGTTTATTCTTCAGATATTCCAGTAGGATAGCTAGTTTTAGAAACTAGAATATTACATTCTTTAACCTGCTGATTATGCATGTCATATTTTACTGAACAGTGCTTCATACTGACATTGGGCACAAAAATATTTAAAAGTATATTCTCTGGCCTTCACCTGAATTCAGAGTAAAATAACATGAATTCAAAATAACTAAAATAGAAATAAATGCTCCAGATTTACAAAAAACTGAACCAATCTCCTTATAATGCACGGCCAACAATATTATGAACTGTATAAATAAAAGACAAATATATAATTTCAGATCAGGTTCCTTGTGCCCACCATCAAAAGATCCCATAATAGCACCACTAAAATATTATTTGTAGGCATTGATTGATAAAATATCTGGTAGAATTTAAGAATATATAACCCGTTCAGCAGGACTTTCGGAGATGATCCTTGTCTCCTATTGCAAGGTATGGTAGACCTAACCATTGTGAGTCTACAGGCCAATATTTCACTTCTGGGCAGGTCTCTGGAATTTCATAAAATGCATCAAAATATGAAAACAACGTTGTGCCATGGACAACTGCAATATTAATCAGTACATGCCTGAAAAAAAAAGATCAAGAGCAGTGAGATAAATTTGTAACACACAGGATTTCATTTCATTTGTTTGTTCTTGAATTTTAGTCACTATAAAACCAAACATCTGTAAACAAATATTTTCTGAAGAAGGGTCTAGGCCCGAAACGTCAGCCTTCCTGCTCCTCTGATGCTGCTTGGCCTGCTGTGTTCATCCAGCTCTACACCTTGTTATGTCAAACCCAATACCTGCTTTCTGTATAATCCAAGTAAATAAATAGAATGTGAGACCAAGTCATCTGTAAATTGTCTGGAGGAGGCATAACTCTATGAAGTAGGCCCAAAGGTGTGTCTTAGCATTGGTTGATGAGATCAAGTTATCCTGGAGGTGCTTACACAAAGCCCTTGACAAGTACAATAATTTCCTCATGCTGTCTATTACCACTATGAATGTGTAAAATCAATGTTTATATTTACCTAAGTAAAAAAAAATTACCGGTTACATAAGACTGGAAAATATGTGTGAACAGACTGTAAATGAAAGGCTAATAGTTTTTGCTGAGGTGTTACATTTTTAGGTTAGGATTCAGTGTGACTGGTGGATCTTATGAACCAAGAGTAAATATTTCCTGTTGAATATGTAGTTAAATGTAGACTCCCAAAGGTCTAACAAAGAACTCTTATCACTGTGAGATCGCAAGAACTGCAGATGTTGGAGTCAGAGACAGTGTGGAGCTGGAGGAACAAAGCAGGCCAGACAGCATCAGAAGAGCAGGAAAGTTGATGTTTCGGGTTGGGACCGTTCTCTTATTACTGTACTCTGAATCACTGCAATTTATCACATGTTCACATAGACTTCTTTGGGAAAAAAATATACATTGTATATGATTGTGGCTCAGACCATATGCTACTAGACAGGATTATCCAATATTAAACAGGTGAAAGTATAGAAGAAGCAACACAGTCATAACAAGCTTTCCTTTTCTCATCAAAATGTCAAAGACACACTTCCTGCATTAACTGGGCAATGTAAAATATTGTCAGTGATATCTTCTGTACTCTGAGATGCTGAGTCATCTCAGACTCCATGTGATCAGTGAGCAGGGCTCAGGTTGCCAAATATAACATGGCAATCAGAAATTCTGGCAACAGAATAGGCCCCACAGAATAAATTGCAGTAAAAGAAGGGTTAGTTCCACTGAATGAAAATCTGATTCTGTTTTTCAATTTGAACATAGCCATCGATCAACTTTATTACTTTAAAATCCTCAGAGGGGTCAAATGCATTAAGTCACAACACATAAGAAATTTAAGTACACAAATTCCTATTCACATTCTAAATTCTCAGGTACATTACACGATTTGCTCAATTATCTCCAAGATTACAGTCTGAGGGAGGATGCAAGTCACATGTTCAAACGTAAACAGTGTTAAGAGATGGATCATTGTAGATGATTGACAGTTCCTTTTTGAATCACATTGTCAGCTATTTAAATCCTGGAAGTCCTAACTAACCAAGTAAAATTTTCAAACTCAGGAGAATGTAAACTTGAAACTGTAAAGAACCAGACTAGTTACAATCCACTGGTGGTAAGTGATAAAATAAAAGGAATTATTGTGTATGCAAAATATTCATTCAAAATAAGAATAAACAAAAGCATTTTACTGTATATGAGCATGTGTTATTTGCTAGCATTTATTCATTCATATATCCATAATGAACTAAAAAATCTCATGGACTGAATCTTCTTTGGAATAGTGAGGGCTGTGTTGAATTTTTTGGAGAGCTTCTCACTGTAAGACCTAGCAACATTTCTCACTAAATCACCTTGTTAACTCCCATCTGAACCCCTACATCCGATTCAAGCCCCATCTCACCATGTACCATTCCCAGAATAACTTACACCCAATATCTGCCAAAAGACAGATGTGCCTGGAGATATTTAAAAGGCCGCTGTACACTTGGAGGCACTCTGACATCCCAAAGCTGCCCTGCTTCATTATGGACAGATTTGGAACATGTTGGCGAAGGGAAGATAGAACCGCAATTCATCACAACTGGGACCTGAGGACCTAGTTGAGGGGTTGATGCAAAGGAGGGGTTCCTCTTCCCAGAGGACTGGCTGAGGAGACCACAACACCACATTCTGGCAGCCTGGTCTGAGCTCATTACATGAGTTAGTGCAGTCCCAATGGTGCAGAGGAATGGCCTGCAGTGCCATAAGAAGGTCAGTGACCTTCTTCACTCTGCCAAGGTATGTGTCACACTCTTCTCTCTGCTACCTTACTCTATTCCAGCTACTGCACCTTCCTACCATCAACGTTCATTCTCTGTCATTCTCGCTACTGCCTGCAACATCTTCCCTCACCTCCTCTCACACTCCCCAACCTGACAAACCCATTAACCCTGTAAGGCCTTGTGCTGCCTACTTACTCCCTCAAAACATCTCACCATCTTTTACCCATCTGCAACTTCACCAACAGTCACACCACCAACTTTGGCCTTTCTTGTTCTCTCACTACAGGAGGAGATAGCCACAATAGGGCAGAAAGAGCCTGGACATGTGGAGCGATGATCAACATTAGATTCCTCAGTCCCTAGGAGGAGAGAATCTTGGTATTCACAGGAGAATTTTAGGACCTGCTTCTGTGGGGATGCTGAGATATCCATGTCCCACTAACCGAGTAAGTACCACTCTTCATTCTACTATCCTACCATCAGTGCCATTCACTGCACAATGCTTTCAACCACTGGATGCAATGATTTCTCTTTTTTGGTTGGCAGGTACCAGCAGGACATCCACCACCTCTGCAGAGAAATGACCTGCTCTGCTGGAAGCCACCTCTTTGACCTTCTGAGGATGACAGTATAGAGCCCTCAGAGGAAGCATTAGCAAGACTGTCACCAGTATCTCCACTGGCTCAGATACTGACATCTTGGTGAGAACAATAGCTTTAAAAAGCTGGTGAGCACCTCACTGTGACAGTGCCAAAGCTGGCCAAGGAAGAAATGTTCCAGGTCACTTGGCACTTGGAGGACTGTCAGAGACCAGGAACAAGCTCCGTCCCAGGCTTTTGTTCACATGCACAGAGAGGAACAGGAGTGGCAGATAGGAATGTGGGGCACAATGGCCTTCAGAACCCAGAGGTGGCGGATTGCAGCTATGCATGTGACTGTCTGGCAGCCTTAATGTACAGGTTGATGGTTGCCATGGAGACCCAGTTTCAGCACCCTCAGGATTACACACCTGCCCTCCATCTCTGGAGGCCATGGGTCCACAATATCTAAACATGGCAACAGGGAGCCTCCTGTTTAGGAGATAACCATCTGGTGGGGGAACTACATACAGACCCCTCAGAAGTCTCCTGTCAGATTCTCCATAAGTGGCTGGGCCCTCCAACCTACCTGACCCCTTGAACCACCTAAAGCTGAAACTGAGGAAGGTTTATTTGCCCCTAGCAAGAAGACCTTTGGCATGTCTGGGCATCCAGACACAAGTGGCTCCAGGCCCATCCAACCAAATATCCAGGGCTAACATTCCCCTCTGCCAAGCAGGCTCTTTCCACCCCAGCTATGGAACCAGGCAAGGAGGGAAAGAACAAAACTTATTCAGGGCACTTTGGTGGCACAGGTGACATTGCACGGTATATGAATTCACGTGCTTGTATGAATTTTGTTGTTTTGGCATTACATCTGTATGTTTGAGCCTGTGCCTAGCCTCAGATGTGCCAAACTCACATCCACACAGGATGTACCATGGATTGATGTCTGTATTACAATGAGTGGAAGAAAGATGAACAAGGTATCCTGCTGACACCATTGCCTCTCATCCTAAAACATCTCTAATCCTTGGCCAAAAGTGCTGGTGTGAGTTAGTGGCCAGCGATGTCCGGTGCCCAAAAGTGTGCAGCAAACAGTGAGCCAAGGCCTAGGACAGCCAGGTCTGTGTCCTGTGCAGTGCATGGGACTTGTGTAAAGTTGTTTCCCTTTAAAGATCAGAAAATGAACTGGAAACCAGCATGTGAACACTGTGTCTACAAGAACAGGTCAGAGGCTGTGAATTCTGTGGCAGGTAACTCACCTCTTGACACCTCAGTGCCTGTTCACTGTTGACACGATCCTAATCGTCTATGGGGACTGAATTATATGTGGCTCATCCTATCATACTTTACTTCATCTGAAGATGCACATGGTCTTCACTCTCCACAGATAATGAAATGGAGATTGGTTTGAGCTTCCTATTCCAGAAGTTTCTCTTACCAAGACTTTTAAATGATCTTTTTAATGCCAACACATACAATGTTAAAACATTAAGCGCTCATAATGGCAGTTTCCTAAGCTTGCAGCTTCCTGTCTCCCAACACTAGGTGCTGTTGTTGAGCCTCTATTTTGCTCAGCCTGCATTGGTGGCAGCCTCAAGTCTTAAGATCCATTCTCCAGCTTATCAAATTACTATGAGTTTTCCTATGTAGATATGAATATAAAATAAGAGTTTACCTTTATTCTAGCCTTAGAATTTATTCATAATGTCCTTTCACTCCAAATTCCTTTTTACTTCTGCAGCTGTTTTATTTGCTTCTCCCGTGCAATCCCTGACCTTATTTATTTATGGAATCTGAGCACTACTAGCAAGGCCAGCAATAATGGTCCATTTCTAATTCCCCTCGAGTGGGTGATGTGAATTGCCTTCCAAACCATTGCAGCACATGTGGGTAGAGATCTTGTGGTGCATTGGTAGTGTCCCTACCTCTGAATCAGGAGGCCTGGGATCAAGTCTCACTTGCTCCAGAGGTGTGTAAAAATATTCCTTAAACAGGTTGCTTAGAAAATATCTTGGAGTCCATGTGGTGTGGTTAAACCCACAGTGCCTTAGGCAGATTATTTCAGGGGTTTGTGTCAGTTATCTGATTCTCTAGGCCTGTCTTGCCTTTGCCTCCTGTCAACTCTTTCCTTGCTGTATTGTGGCCCCCTGTGAGGAAGGCTGTAGTAAATTACAACACTTCTTCTGTTTTACATTATAATCCTACAGTCACACAGCAGTGGATCTTCCGACACACTTTGGAGCATTGCCACATGGTTGTCAAATAAATCTACACAATTGTTGAAGAGTAAAGTGGTTTTGAGCCATCTTTTGCCTTAGAGAAAGATCATGTGGAGACATTAGACAATTTCAGCAGTTAATTAGCACAAAGATCTTTCAATATGTTATTCCTGAAGAATTATGAAGAGCGAACTTAGACATCAATGCTGCTGAAGGTATGATTGTGGCAATAGAGAACTTCTCTAGAAGAAAAACCCAACATTTGTTAACTTTATTGGGAAAATGAAAAGACTCAAAGTGCAACAATTATTACCATCTTTAAAACTTACTTTGCAAAAAGAAGAGATCGCAAACAATAATGATAGTTTGAGAAATTGTTTAGTTTAAAGCAGATTTACCAGAAACTATGGAGGTAGTAAAAATTTATCTGTCTCCAGAAGGCACAGAGTAAGCGATCACTTAGCCAGCAAGAAATCGCGACAAGCCACCAAGCCACAGTCACAAAGGCCAGGTTAATTATTCTTTGATCTGTGCATCTGAAAGAATAAACACAATAAAGTAATCTTTAACTGGAACTGCAACCTTTCTCCTTATTTTTGATCATAAATCTCTCAGTCATGTCACCATTCTCAATGTCAATGGCTGTGTTCCCCAAACAACTTTATTGTACTTGTCTTTTTGTCACCCAGCTCGACAACTCTGTATTTGTCTTCTGCCATAGCTTTTGTTTGCTCCCTACGTGTCCTGCCTCTGGCAGGTTATAGGGTGCATTAGGTTGAACAAACTTGGTGGAATTTCTGTTCAGTTATTCCAATTACATCAAACACCTCCCATGTTTTCTGTCAGTACTTCCATGCAGTTTTGGACAAAATAGATGTCAGCACACTCCAAATTAGGAAATTTAGCATTTATAAATACAATGAGTCCTCCTCAATTGCCCACATTTATAGCAGTTAAGTATTTGCTTCCAAACTCATCAAGTGTTTCTGCATCATTATTACTGGATCATTTCAACGGCCTTCTCTACTGTGCATTTGTGATAATGCACCCAGAAAGCACAGTGAAGTTGCGCAATCCTAAAGGCTTAGAAAGAAAGACAAGTAGAATTCTCATTTGGGTGAGCAACTACTTACTTCATCTTCTACATGAATAACAGCTCCATAGATTGCACTTCCACCTTGGAATCAGAAGGTTATGGGTCTCTAGTCCCACTCTGGAGACTTGAGCATGTAAACAAATACAGAGAGGGCACTGCAAAGCGAAAAATGCCACATTTTGGGGATTTGTAGTTAAATTGAAGTGGCATCTGGCCTCTCAGGTGGCTGTAAAAGATTCCATGGAACAATTCAAAGAAGAGCAAAAGTGTTCAATATTTATCTCTCAGCCAATGTCATTAAAAATGCTTTACCAAATGCTGCAAAAAAGTGGTAGTCATGCTTCTTTAAGTTGCTACAATGACAGCATTTCGAAGTGTGAAAGTGGCTGTGAAAGATCAGATGTTACTAATCAGGATATATAACATTGTCATATATCCAACAAAAAATTATGCCAACTCCTTATGAATTTTAATCATCATTTACTCTGGAAAGATGTCAAAATTAATTCGAGGCATTTTTTGTGGAACAATGGTACAAGTTCCAAACTTATAATATAATTATTGTGGACGAGAATTTCCCTCAGTCAAGATTCCACCCACGTACAAAGAATTAAATTAGGTCCAATTATCTGGCAGGATATTTCAGATAGTAGGACATTGTTAAAAATATATAGCTTAATTCTCAGACAATTAGTCATACGTTTAATACATTAACTGTTTTGGTGCAAATCTATTTTTCAGATTTAATACTGACTTGTTGTAAAGTTCTTACCTTTTCAATTCAAGTGAAATCACATAAATAATGTGCAAGGCAACAAAATTCAGCGCATAAGCATTCACTGTTGGTTTATAAAATGAGAGGATTGTGCTCAGCAATGCAGCAAGAAAGACAATCCGTGAAAAAGACTTCCTGCAGAGGGAAAGAAAACACATTTCAGTAAATTCTGGAGAGGAGGATTATTTTCCAAAATCAAGTTCCACTTCAAAAAGATAGAAATGTTCACATAATTTCAATTTTCATTTTGGACTTTTAGCATTTCTAAATGTTCTTTTTTTTAATTAAAAGGACTCTGTAAGCTGTTTTCTGAACATTGTGTGCACATGTAGACATGGTATGTAAAGGGATGGTTGTTTAGCTCAGTTGGCTGAACAGCTAGTTTGCAATACAGAGTGATACTCACTGAGATTACAATAAGTGCTTTGCCTTTTCAACTTCAATCCTCACCTGAGGCATCTGGTCCTAAGATTAAACTCACCACCAGTCATCTCTTGCTTTCCTATTGCGAGTTGGGACTACATTGGTGAGGCCACTTTTAGAATACTGCCTACAATTCAGGTCACCATTCTTTGGAAGGACGTTATTAAACTTGAGAGGGTGCAGAAAAGATTTACAAGGAAGATACCAGTTTTGGAGGGTTTGAGTTATTGGGAGACACTGAATAGGCTGGGGCTTTTTTGCCTGGAGCATCGGAGTCTGAGGGGTGACCTTATACAGGTTTATAAAAATCGTGAGGGGCATGGATAGTGTGAATAGCCAAGGCCTTTTTTTTCCCCAGGGTAGGGGAGTCCAAAGCTAGAGGGCATAGGTTTAAAGTGGGAGGGGAAAGATTTAAAAAGGACCTGAGGATGGTGCATGTATGGAACAAACTGCCTGAGGAAGTGGTGGAGGCTGGTACCATTACAATATTTAAAAGGCATCTGGATGGGATGAGTAGGAACGATTCAGAGGGATATGGGCCAAATGCTGGTAAATGGGACTAGGTCAAAGTGGGATGTTTGGTCGCACAGATGTGTTGGACCAAAGGGTCTGTTTCCGTGCTATTATGACTCTATAGACATTTTACTTTTCCAGGAATATGGGTGGAAGCAGGTACTTGGACCTGGATATTGCTCTCCATTTGATTACTCTCCAAACTGATTACATAGTTTTAAAAAGCTAGGAAATTTGGCCACAAGTGATATAATCATCTAACTACAATATTCCCAAGTCTTTCGACTCAAATGTCTTCACACTCAAAACCATCACACACCTAACTTTCAAATCCAATTATCCTCCAACTGCACTTGTTCTGAGACCATAATGTTACAATCACATTCTCAATTGTAGCAGGAAATAAAAATTACTTTCTAAAAAAAGATTATCTAAATATTTTGAGCATATTAAGCCACTTTCATCCCCACTAGGACCTGCCTTGTATTTCCTGTTTTATTGAAGGCACTTTTATGATGTCATACAAACACTTGGTAACCTTTTAGTGATTATAATGAGTTCAGCCAGGTTGACTTTGTAGAATATGAGTCCCCTGATTGGGGTTGTCAATCTGGTCCAATCATAGAACCCTGACTGACAGATGAGAACAGGAATGTCAGACATCCTGTTCACTCTGAGAGCTGGCTCTGAGGGAGTTGGATCAGTGCCAAGGACTCTTCATGTGTAAATGATAGGTACTTGGTGACTGGACACCGGCCTCTGTGGAGTTATTTCAAACTTTCCGAACTGTACATTCCTAAATATCATGAAACAAACACAGAGAATGCTGGAGAAACTTAGCAGGTCTATAGCATCTATGGCTAACAATACAGCTAACATTTTGAGTCTTGCATTGTCTGTGTTTGCTTCAGATTTCTAGCATCCACAGTGTTTTGTTTTTATTTACCTAAATATCATGTGCCTAGCGTGTACGAGTCATGGTTTGATGAGTTGAGACCTACATTTTAAGAGTCAAAAAGGAAATGCACATTATGCATTTGGTATTTTGTTTGGGGTGAGTGCTGTGCTTGCGAGAGTGAACATTAACAGGCTTTTTTACGATAGCAATATACAGGGGATTGTAATTGAGGACGTCGCTATTTTGGTTTGGGAACTGGTACCACAGCTGGGTACCACTTTGTTGTCTGTGTGACTTTCAACATAAATCCATATTGAAGCATACCCTAAATCTCAGTTTGTACCTTCTTTTGAAGTGGGTACGTGACCTTCCTGAGTATGAACAAGCAGATGCGTTTGGTATCTACCTTCAATATGATGCGGTTGTATTTAATTACCCCAGGCCTCTTATGTGTTCTGGGATTTGTTGTCAAGGTGGATACCCTGGGCCTTAGTTATGTCCTTTCTATTTCTTTCCAAGCAGATTTCCCTCTATATTGTGTTGTATTAGTGGTGACATACTTAGCAATAAAAACAGACACAGAAGCAAAGAATTATGCATCTGGTTGCATCACCAATACTTATGTTCTAAATAGCTGCCAGGCAATCGAAGAATGGGTGTTATTTAATCTGTGAGAATTTCCTAAAATGCAGATCACACAAAGAAAGGGCATTTAAGTTACTTTAGTTCATGTAATGGTGATGCATTTGAAAATTTGAAGGATGTACTTGGGAGATAAATGGGAAATTTGCTATAGAACATAGAACATAGAACAGTACAGCACAGTACAGGCCCTTCGGTCCACGACGTTGTGCTTAACTTTTACCTGAAACCTAAGGTCTATCTAACCTCCACCGCTACCTTATACTATCATCCATATGCCTATCTAATAGCCGCTTAAATGCCCCTAATGAGGCTGACTCCACTACCCTCTCCAGCAATGCCTTCCACGCCCCTATCACTCTCTGAGTAAAGAACCTACCTCTGCAAAGAATATACCTATGCAAAGGAAGAATTTGAAGATTATCTAGGAATACTAGAAAATAACATTTTGAAAGTTTGGCTTGGAGCCAGCAGTATTCTTCTTCCACATTAAATAATTAAGGTTGGAGTGATGGATGGAACGTTGCAGTTAGGGAAAATTTGAATGGGTCAAGTTTGAATGGGGAACATGTGCAGAGAGATGAAGTTTCAAGAGTTGGGGCTGAGGAAGGGTTTTGGCCTTGGAAACTGCAGAACCAATTAGGGCAGAGGTCTAGCATATTTAAAAAGAAGAATGGAGGTTGGAAACCAAAAAGGAAAATAAACCAAAAACTCACTCTGAGCATGGACAACCTGTGAGGCAATAGGTTAGGGTCAACCTGGGAAAATTTTGGATGGCCAAGGAATTTAAAAGAGCTTTGTGATGAACATTAGCTATCTCAAATCTTGGGATGGGGAAGGCAATGAAGGTTGTGAGATGGGAGAAGACATAGCTTCTGGCTATCTCGAAACTTACAGACAGATGATGTGAATATGGTATAAGCAGTTTAGTACTTCACCGGCAGGCTGTATTGTGCCACCAGTGGTACAAGGCACACAACTACAGAATGACAGGAACAAAAACAGAAGTTGCTGGAAAAGCTCAGCAGGTCTGGCAGCATCTGTGAAGAAAAAAAATCAGAGTTAACGTTTCGGGTCCGGTGACCCTTCCTCAGAACCGGGTCATTGGACCCAAAATGTTAACTCTGATTTTTTCACAATATAGGAGATGGAAGTTCCTTTACCCTTTCTTCATCTCAACGATTTCTGAGGATAATCACATAAGCAGTCGCATCAGGGCAGCATGATCACACAGCATTTTTCTTATCACTGGTGCCTGAGCAATGCTGGATGTAAAAGATTTATGTAAAAGTTTATCTATCAGTAGCATGCACAATTTTCAAAGGGATGAACTTAATACTTAGAAGGAGTGTTTTGGCAATGCTATTAATTAATATTGTTACTGCAATCAACTTAATGTTAAAATGTTTCTTAATGTTTCTGTGGACCATTATGGAGGATTGATAGTCTGAGAATGTGCCACAATGATTTCCTTCTTCAATAATATGGCCTCAGAAAGGTCTCTGGCAGAGTTAGGAGTTTAATGTTCAGTGTGTTGACGCCTGATTTTGTGATGCTATATACACTCCTATTGAATACAGTGCTCAATCCTTAAGGTGGGTGAACATTCAGCTCTGCATTTCTTTGGTTATGGAGGGCATTTTGGTCTTTCCATGAAAGGCTGAGCTCCCTTTTATATAATGGTCTTGATCACAGCAACAATGTAGTCTGCAGCAAACAAACACTCTGGGTGGGAAATCTTTTACTGGAAGCCCCAGTAACATTGTATTCATTAGGTAAGAAAAAATTATATCCCAATCATATACACTTTCAGAACAATAAAATCATACTTGAGCTCAGAGGAAGGTGTGACTTTAAGATCCCAGCTTCATATGGGGATATATCATGATTGTCTTGCCACTTGAAATATTGGCCAGAATTTGTCAGGATATTGAAACATATAAACATAAAAAAGAGCAGGAGTAGGCCATTCAGCCCTTCAAGCCTGCTTCACTATTCCATATGATCATGACTGATCATCCAACTCAGTACCCTGTATGAATTGGAACTTCTGACATATCTCAACTAATACTTTCTGGGTTGGTCCTTTTGAATATTGAATAGCAATTTAAACACTAACAAAATATTATTACCTGGTTGTGATGAACGTTGGTAAGTGTCTTCTGGGAAACCACAGCATGTAACCAATTGCTAACACCCACAGGATGGATAATTCATCTAATAACTGACCAAAGTAGCTCAAAGTCATGTGGTAGTATGCTGAGAAAAATCCTGTTATAAAGTTAAACAATGAAAAAAAAATCAATTTAATTAAATAAAGACATTAGCATCCAGACATGAGCAAAAATATCATTTCCAAACTGAATTTCTTTCAGCCTTTATGACTGAATGAGAAAATCTGTCACGTAAAATGGTATATATCCTATATCTTACAAACCAGACATGATGCAGATACAGTCTTTGATCTGGGCTGCATAAGTTGATATCCGATGAAGCTGTAGTTGTGTCTTCTGTGTTAGTTAATGATTGTATACACGTCACCACTGCCCTACACTTCGATAAATGATTCATGGATTCCCTCTCCATCGAATTATAGCAGTGGGATAGGTCCAGAGATTTTCTGCCCCAGCAAGTCTGTTCTTGCTTCTGTTTAAAAGGTTACTGGGGCTTCCAGAAGATGTTTAAAAGAATAGGAAAGGGGTACATTGCGTCCTGTCTCCAATTCACAGTGGCTAGTAAATGTTTTTGCTTTGTTTTTAATCTTTACTCACCTTATTTTGCAAAAGTCCATTATGTGATCTATTCATGTAACAGTAACATAGTGAAATAGTCTTCCAGGATAGCTCTGAACAATAACTCCACTTAATACATGGCTATGAAACTTTTGACAATGGTCTAAATCAGCAATTGAAAGCAAAGGTGAGAAATTGCAAAATAGAGTAAAGTAATGGAAAGTTATCAATAGCAGGGGTCTTTCAACATAGAAAATATTGTAATTGGAGTACCACCATGACTCAGTCTTGGAATCTTTATTACTTGTAATGCAGAAATAGTTTAGAAGCTCTTGATGGTACAAAAGAGGAAACAATGGAATAATGCTAAATCGTGGAACTTGATTCAGAAGAATTTGATTGGTTTTAAGTATCTTTGCCAGTAGGTGGCAGATGTGTTTCAGTGTGGATAATTGTAAAATACCAAATATAGGAGGAAGGATTCAAAATACACTATATCACAGTGCATTAATCAGAAAAGTAATCTTCAGGCTCACTGTGGACAAATTTAAAAAAAACTACTGTGAAATAACTCTACATTGGCTGGTTGACCAAGTCACCTTTTATTTATACACGGAGTATCCTTGACATTGATCCAGTTCCCTCAGAGACAGCTCCCAGAGTGAACAGAACCTCTGACACTCCTGTTTATATCTGTCAGCCAGTGCTCCCTGATTGGACCAAATTAACTTCCCTAATCAGGGAAACCTGGCTGACAACATTACAATCACTGCACACTGGCTCTTTCAATATTCAGACCTCAGGGAGTGAGAAAATTAGCTGTTGTGAATTTGACATGTTCATTATTTTGCTTAAGAAACCTTGAGGCAAATTAGTTGCTAAATCAGGGAGAATGGGAACTGGATTCAGTTGTGGGATGGGGAATTGTGTTCACCAATTTCTAGTATGCCTGACCTCTGAAATACACTTCTCCAAAGTAGTCAAGATGGCGTCGGCTGCAGATCTATCTTTGCCTCGTTCACAGCCTCTCCCTGGAGTTGGGGTGGGTGGTTGTGGGTTGGGGCTGCAGCAGGGGATCTCTCCTCTTGCAATGTGAGAATAGTGATAAAGGTATGAAGTGGAATGTGTTTTGAGGATAGAATGAGAACAATTGTAGAGGGTTACTGTGAGGGATGGATGTGAGATGGCAATAGGAGAAGGGTGTGTGTAAATATTTGTGGTTCAAATTGAAATTGAAGGACATGGTTGGGGAGAAAGGAATGTTTGGAGCTCTAAGATTTGTCTGTCAGAGGAGTACTGTGCAGGAGAATGCCAGCGAGGTAATAAAATCCACCTGAACATGGACATTCACCTTTCATGACTTTAGGAGGTTATTTAAATTTTCTGGCAACTATCCAGGTTCTGAACAACAGACTCCTACTGCTAAAACTGTAAGCTACACTTAATTAGTTCACATCAGGTGAAAAAGCACATTCTGTTAGACTCTCCTCAACTCCAGGGAAGACTCAGGGAACCGAGGGGCGTGGATTTTGGATAGCTTTAGAAACATCTTCCTTCGTTTTTGCCTCTAGAAGCCTTTGCAGCCATTCTGACCCTCTTTGGGGCTCCTTTTAATCCAAATCCTTGATTGACAGGATATGGAACGTGTCATTACAAAAGCCTGCTGACAGAACAAGTGAGTTCCTGACTAATTACTGGCCCTCAGTGAATGTTTATTCAAACAAAATTAGCCCATTTGAAAGCAAAATGCCGCGGATGCTGGAAATCTGAGATAAAAACAAAAGTCCTGGAGAAACTGGAAAAAGCTCTGAAGAAGAGTCAAATCAGACTGTTTTTCTCTCTACACAGACCAGTTGAGTTTCTCCAACATTTTCCGTGTAAATTGTCATTTGTGAAAGGCCTGAAGTAATAAAGATCTATACCATATTTTTTCCAATGATGATGGTATGTTTATCTGGTAAAAATTAGGTAAGATTAGACAGAAATAATTATACCTATTGATTATGTAAAATATAATCATTACATATTGATTAACGTAACAGAGCTTTCAGTGTAGACTGCACTCAGGCAAAAGATTGACAAGTAATTGTTACGAATTGTCACTTACCTACAAACATAATCATGACCCAGATGAGATACACAGCTCTGGACCTCTTCTGAGCATATGGATGTAATAGATACATCATTATAGGAGACGATATGAAGAAACTTACACTGCTGATCTGTAAATTGAAGTAAGAGGAAATCACTAAAAGCTTAACACAGAAGTTCCGCAGATAATAAGGAAGTCAAATGGAATGTTAGCCTTCATTTCAAAGGAAATAAAGTCTAAATGTAGGGACGGCTTGTTAGAATCATGCACTTGTAGTCACACCTGGAAAACTGTGAACTGTTCTGATTTCCTTATCTAAGGAGAGGTATATTGGCATTGGAGACAATCCAGAAAATGTTTACTAGGCTGATCCCAGGTATGGGGAGGGATTGCCTTATTAGAGAAGTTTGTGTAGGTTGATCCAGTGCTCACTGGGGTTTAGTAGAATGGGATGTGACCTTATCAAAACATATAAGATTCTTAAGGGACTTGTTCAATGTGGATAAGTTGTTTCCCCGTCAGGGAGAATCTAGGAACAAAGGGCACAATCACAGATTGAGGTCACACTGTTAGGACAGATATGATGAGGAATTTCTTCCCTGAGGGCAGTAAATCTGTGGAATTCTTTCCCAGAGAGGGCTGTTTGTTACATTTATTTGAGGTTGAGATAGATTTTTAGTCAGTAAGGATTATGGGGAAAGGTCAGAAGGGTGGAGTTGAACATAGAACATAGAACATAGAACAGTACAGCACAGTACGGGCCCTTTGGCCCACGATGTTGTGCCGAACTTTTACCCAAAACCTAAGGTCTATCTAACCTCCACCGCTACCTTATACTATCATCGATATGCCTATCTAATAGCCGCTTAAATGCCCCTAATGAGGCTGACTCCACTACCCTCCCCGGCAATGCATTCCACGCCCCTACCACTCTCTGTGTAAAGAAAAGAATTATCAGATGAGAATTATCAGTTGAGAATTATCAGATCAGCCATGCTTTCATTGAATGGCAGAGAGGACTCAAAGGGCTGAATGACCTACTTCTGCTCCATAGTATATAGTTTAATTTGCCTGTCCATTACTTCAATCGGTGGCCAAGATTTTACAGGTCTCCAGGAAGCATACCAGGGGGTAGAGGAGGTGAAAATTCAACCATGAGGGTGGGGACTGGCATGCCCATCATGCTACTGTTGGCATTTACCATCAATGTAAGAGGTGGTGATCTGTCTGTTGGCCTTTGCACCCAATCGAGTGTTTTAAAAGTTCAATTAAACACCATGCCTCATCTTGCTCCTGCGATATTTTACTCTGGTGGCTTCCATGGTGGGGTGGGAGGGCAGGGTTTGACTCCCTCCTGATCAGGTATCGTTAGGCTCACAAGCAGGCTTGTCCCCTCTTTGGAATAACTGCCCGCCTTACGGTTGACTGTTGCAGCCTCAGCGTGGCTTGCCCTGAACAGCCGCAGTGAGGTTACACAATCTGTCCCATGTCCCTGATGCTACCCAAGTTGCACTCCCAGTAGTGGTCACTGCACCTTGTGGCGCAGTGGCACTGAACAGCCACTTGACCACCAGCCCTTGGAGGGTGGGTCCTTGTCCCTTAAAGAGATGGAAGCCCTGATGCCAGACTGCAGTTAAAATTGGGTCTGGGCTCCCAAAACCAGCTAAGAGACTTCGACCTTTTGGCAGGTGGATGGGGCCATCATTGTCCCATAAAACCCTGGCCGCCATATTTGTGGTCTCCACCTGGCAAAAAATTAGTTAATTTGTTTTGAGTATTTGTGTAACCGGAACAATAGCTCAGTGTTGCTATTAGCTATGCTTTTATCTCAGTCATGCATCAGAAACTCCATTGTTTAATATATTCAATGGTCTAGAGGAAGTTCTGCCTTTGAAAAAATGTGATCAAGCATTTTATATTTGAACATTTCAGAGTAGCACAAATAAAATCATAGAAGCAAACAATATTTATGTGTTGACAGCAAAAATTGCAGCTTCAATGATAGGAATGAGCAACAACAATGAATCATGATGGATCTGCCTCGTTCAAATCTTTAGAAGGTGGACTGAACCGACTGCAAATCCTTGAAAGTTCAGGAGTTCTGCTACAGAGTTCCTGACAAGTTCCTTCAATAGCAACAGTGAACAGCCCTTTAGGAACAAGGCATGGAACTATTTGTTTAGCAGAGTTGGAGCAAGTCAGCACATTCTGAGGAATGTGAGTTCTCCTTAGACATTCCCAGGTAGATATATCTATCTTTGTTTGATACATATAACTCTTCCAGTAATTGCCTTATTCAGAATTTCGATGGTTGCAAACAAAAATAACTGCTAGCAAAGAAAAGTGCAACTTTAAGCACTTTCAGAAAGGCAAAAACATCATTGCGCTATGTCCATATTTTATGTGGAGCAAATTGAGTACACCGTGCATTTTAGAAAAGAGATGAGGAAATTCCTGGTAAAAATCAGTTACATTTAATTGTCATAATCATTACACTTTAAATAGTACTGTTGTTTGAGTTTAAGAAAGGAAGGAGGATTTGGCTTATATTTGAAGTAAAGACATCAACATGTGCAGCACTCCACCTCCCTCTTCCTTTACAATATCAAACCTACCTCTTTGACCAAGTCTTTGGTCACCTGTCCGTTGGCTCAGTGCCAATTATTTTATCCAAATTCATTCCAGTGAAGCATCATAAATGAAAACTGATGTTCTATGTTTAGCTTGACAAATGCTGCCAAGAATGTAGTAGAAAAGCACAGGCAAAACAAAGCCTCTTGTTCGTAAACTTAGTGACAAACAGGTTAATGCCACTGGACTGGACAGACTCCATCAACACGACAGAAATGTAACCTCACTGGCCACAATCTACAAAACCAAGACTGTAAGCAGAAGAGTCACTGATTCTGAAATCAGTCATCTAGGTTTATGCCAGAAATGCAAAAGGTACTGCCATTTTGTGTACCCATAAGAAAATTTTAGTGGATTTCTATCAACATTGTTTTTTGGTTGCTTCTCTTGCCTCTGAAACTTTCCAAACAGATTACCGCTTGAGCAGACTAATTTACAGTCATAATGTATAAAAAGACCATTCCCCAAAATAGCTCTATGTATCTAAATTCTGCTGACCTCTATTTAAATTCTTTCACTTACATTTGAAGGAGACATTGCTGATCGAACTACTGTTTCCATGGCCAGACTGAAGTCTTTATCTCTATATGATTTGTGAATTGGGAGTCTACCACTCACCAGTTGGGAGTTTCACTGGCTTTTTAACAGGTTATCAAAAAAAATTATTTTAGAAATTCACAGCACTTTTTAAAAAGCCAGTACTTGAAACACCTTACAAGGCTGTGGACCAAGCGCTGGGAAATGGGACTCGGCTAGATAGATGGTAGATGACTGGAGAAGACACGATGGATTGAAAGGGGAGGGGTGTTGGATTGAAAGGCCTCTTTCAATTCGCTATGACTAGGATTCTATATAATGACAGGTCCACTAGTCTCCTTCTGAGCTTTATGATTCTGAACAGTTTAAACATTGGTGGTTTTTTCCAAATGCTTTAGTCTTGAAAACATTCTAAAACTTTGCTTCTGTTGATGTGATTACATTCCTGGTGACTGGGGATATTCCCAGCAGGGGAATGACAGAGAATGACAGCACCCCCACTATCTGGAGACCAAAATATTTTTGAGAACCCCGATAGGAATTACAGATCTGGCCTTAGTTTCAACAGTGGCATAAGTGGGAGATCAGCAATATTAATGAGGTATAAAATAATAGAATAAAAGCATCAGGTAGTTAAGAACTGTACACTCTCCATGGAGAGATAAAGATTCCTTTTTATTTGTTACCTTGGTACAGAGACCACGCGGATCACAAATGGCGAATAATAAATTTAAATTCACTGGCTAAGTATGTAATCAGCCAAAACAGATTAAAATGTTCATGATTTAATGTAAACATTGCTTTAGTCAACTTATTTCAACCTATCTCTATGAAGCAGTTCAAACTGTTGCTGCCCATTCTAATTCTAGTCAGTCATATAGTTTAAAACGCCATGACATTTTTGTGCTTAAGATTGTCTGAAAAATATTATGAAATTACACAGCAGCTGTCAGTCCTTACCGTGTTGTAAAACTCGGCAACTTTCTCTGAAAACTGAAAATTGTCTTCACACCAGTCAATCTGAGAACTCTGATATGCAAACACGTTGGCCATCCCGAGTCTGTGCTGAAAGATTTGCATGAAGTAGAACCTGTGCACATAAATAAAATATAAAACTCATCTGCAGAAAAAAAAATAGAAAAACAAAATTAAAAGCATTTGTGTGGCTGGAACAAGGAGAGCGTGAAGCAAATGGTATGAATTATTTAAAGCCAACCTTGCAGGTATCTAGAGTAATCAGAACTATTGTCATGTGATGTCAGCCACAAACCGTCCTGGGAATTTTAGCTCAAGCTCACAAACAGAAAAATAATTCCAAGTAAACAGATACAGACGCCGATGCAATGAAACAGCTAGAGATCAGGGTGGACTGGGTGCCAGAAGGTGCACTGCATTCCAAAATAAAAGTATTAATTCTCTTACCCAGTCTCTAATCTTTACAGGACTATATGAATAGCTACACTCTTTCTAAAACAATTAAAGGTTGATGCTCTGAAACTAAGTAAACACAAAAAATTTTCATTTTCTCCCAAATGTACAACACTCGTGTCAGACATGCTGCCAGCTGCTGGAATTCTGTTGTATAATAGTGAGAAGCATGTGCTGAAAACTTACCATATAGGAGAAAAAAAGAAAAAATCTTTAGTCCTTAAAAGGTTAAAAGTTAACTCTCACTTGTTAGCTTAAAAGGCTGTGTCCTTTGGAATTTTGGTCTTGTCAAACCTGCTTTTTCGTTCTGCTCTCCTTGTATTGTTGACAATTGATTGAGAAGCCGTGTACATTCAATCAAAACAGGTGGTAAAGGTCTGAGACAAGTGCACCTTAATAATTTTTTTTATTTATGCGATGTGGGTGTCACTGGCAAAGCCAAAATTTATTGCCCAACCCAAATCATTCTTGAGAATGTTGCAATGAGTCATGTTATTGACACCTGAATTTTTTGCTCAGGTGTACAAAGGACACTGCTGGTACTTAAATCATAGAAATACAGAATGGTTACAACACAGAAAGAGGCCATTTGGCCCATCGTGTTCATGCTAGTTCTCTGTAAGAGCTTCTTAGCTAATCCCACTACCCTGCTTTTCACCTATAGTTCTGCAAAATCTAATTGAGATAATTATGAAATTCCATTTGGAAAATCACTATTGAATCTGCCTTCACCACACACTCAGGTCATTTCAGATCCTAACCAGTTACTGGGCTGAATTTTACCAGAAATTGGCTAAGTGTCAATTATGGCGATTCCGTGAAGGGTTTCTCTCCATAAGACCTAGTGAGATTTCTCACACTATTCTCTCAAATGAGCCTCATTAACTATGCACAATGCCAATATGGTGCCAGACTCATCCTATTTTCCCCCTCGCCACAGTTGGAAGTACTCACCGCTGCTGGGGCCTCTGGTAGTCCTGGTGCTGGCACCATTGTTATGCTCAGCAGGCACGAGGTCCAGTGCTGCCAGACAAGTGTTTCCCTTCACAGTGCACCTAGTAGGGGAGTAACCAAAAAAGAAATGCTTCTCAGGGCACATAGGTGGCACAGCAGACACCTCATTGCAAATACAAGTGTACATTCATGAATGCATCACTGTTTAAGAGCCAAGCTACACAGGTTACCCATCCTTAGCCACATCCCATCTTAGAACCCTATATAAAGGAGTGCTACTCTTTATTCAGTGCCTAGTGAAACCTGTAGCTTAGCCATGTGTTCCACTGTCCCACATTGAAGCCAGAGTAGTTGTGTCTGTCAACAACTCCGCTCCTGCAGTAAGCTATGTGCTCCAACACACTAAAGTCTCCCCCCATCGCGATTTTTATGTTGTATATCCCCCTTTGCAATTTTATCCCTTCTAAATTCTGTCTTCAATCCCCATAATTGACATCCCAAACTGTTGACAATGATGACAAGCTGCCTGTGTCTATGTTCAACTGCAAGGTAAGACAGAAGAACTGTAAGCCTTTAAGGTTGGTGGTGGTGGTTGAGTGGGGACGTGGCCGGGTGCGGGTGGTGTTGCGGATAATGCAAGAAGCCAAGACAAAACAAAGCAGAGATGCTGTGAGCATCCAAATAGGTGCAGAGCAAATGCTCAGACAGTAAGTGCAGAGTCGCGAGATGGGGTCCAAACCAACAGTGCCTGTCCCTGCACACAGTGTCCTGGTAGCATCTCAACATGAAAGGTGGCGGTGTGCTCCAAAGTGCTGCATTGAGTGCAGGTCCGTGTTGTAGGTGGATTGAAGATGTGCCCTGAGGGTGTGGAAAGGCTGGTCTATGAATAGGGTTTGTGGGCAGTCATTGGCCATGTTGCAAGCCCTGAGACATTGAGGACTGCTGTCGAAGATAGAGGTCTGGAGGAGCAAGTGACTTTGACTTTCATGTTGAAAATTCTCAACGTTTAGTTTCTATCCAGTGGCTGTGTGATTGGGAAACTACATGTCAATGAGTCAAAATTAGGCAATAATGACATGTAATGCATGCAAATGAATGCAAATAGGCTTCTCACACCACTTACTCGGAAGATTCTCATCTTGTCATTTGGTCCTTAAGCTGGAGAATGGTACTTTTTATCTTGATGTTGAGATTCTCATTTCTGCTAATCTCACATTTTTCCAACTGACCCAACAAAGCCCATGTTGTTCAGAAGCTATGAAGATTTTGGCCACTTTATAAAAAATGCTTTCCTCATGTCATGTCATTACTTCTTTTACCAATCACCCTAAATCTGTGCTCTTTGGTTCCTGACCTGTCCACCAATGGGAAGAGCTTCTCACTAACCTAGAGGTCCCTCACAACTTTGAATATCTCAATCTCTACTCTAAAAGGAACAGACCCCATGTTGCTAATTTAACTGAGGTTCTCAAGCCCAAAACCTTTCTTGTAAATCTTTATTCTTTTCAATCTTTTCACATTCTTCCTGAAGTGTGGTGGCCAGAATTGGGCAGTGTACACTTCAGCTGAGGCCGAACCAGAGTTTTATACAGGTTTGCCTTAACTTTGTTGCAGAGCTGTATGTCTCTATTTATAAGAGTCCAAGATCCTATATAGTATATGAACTGCTGCCTTAACATGCCCTTCCAACTTCAATGATTTGTACAATATATCCCCCAGGGTGTCTCTGCTCTTGCATGCCTTTAGTTCTGTATCCCTCATTTTATATTGCTTTCACTTGTTCTTCCAAAACAGTTCTACTGTCTACAAGGCACAACAATATCTTCCAGACCTACACTGGCATATTTTTCCACATAAAATCCTGCAATTCCCTCCCCAATGGTATTGTGAGTCAACTCACAGCATGAGTTCCAGAAGGCAGCTCACCACCACCTTCTCAAGGGCAACTAGGGACGGGCAATAAACGCTGGCCAACCAGAGATGCCCACATCCCACAAATGAATAAAAAAAAAACTTCTACACTGTCAGTGGGTCAGAATCCTGGAACTCCCTTCCTAACAGCATCATAGATGCACCTGCATCATTTGGCTTTCTGGAGTTCCAGAAGATGATTCACCTTTCAAGTCACTGAGGGATCAGAAGCAAATGTCAGTCTTACTAGAGACAACCATATTGCATTTATGAATAAAACCTTGATGGGCTGAACTATCCTTCTTCTGTGCCCTAATGACACTGTGATAGCATTTCAAACAGCAATTAAGTTTCCTGTAATAATATGGAACCGGGTATTCTTAGTGATGATGCAGAAACATATTATGAAATTCTCTTGAGGTCAAGCAGATACCAAGATTCTAAACAGTCTGGTTTAGTGTCAGACCGTTTCCAAGAGAGGGATAGAGATGGCTAGGGAATGCAATTTGTTGCAGACAATGGCCTCGGTCTTCCTAATATATCTTTATAAATGATATACTTATTTGGAAGATATAACTGCTCATCCAACGCTGGATATCAGACTAGCAGTGTGACAGCTCAGAGATAGTGGAGGATTGGATAGCAGTAGTGATGAGTTGAACTGTATGAAGTCTGTGTAAATGTGAAAACTAACCTTGTGAAAGCAGGTCTGCAGACACAGCTGAAGCGCACCCAATTTATTTACCCTGGACCTGATGGGAAATAGCTACAGAGATAGCGGTAATCTTCTTGGAATCCTTAGATTCTTGAAAAGTCCCAGAGGGTTGGAAAACTGCCAATGTAGCAGCTTTATTTAAAAAGGAAAGGAGACATAAAAAAACACAATAACTATAAACCAGTTAGTTTTACATCTGTTTTTGGGAACATACCAGGGTCCTATATAAAGGATGTAATAACAGAGCATTTAGAAACATATTATGCTCAAGCAAAGTCAGCATGGTTTTATGATAAGGAAATCATGTCTGAAAAATTTACTAGAATTCTTTGTGGTGATGCCAAGCAGGATAGATAAAGAGGAAGCAGTGGATGTAATATATTTGGATTTTCATAAGGCATTTGATAAAGTACCGCACTACTAAAAGACTGTTTAATAAAATAAAAGCCCATTGTGTTGGAGATAGAATATTAGTGTGGATAGAGAATTGGCTAACTAGTAGAAGACAGAGAGTTGGGGTAAGGGTGGCATTTTCAGGGTAGCAACCTGTAACTAGTGGAGTGCCATTGGGGGTCAGATCTGGGGCCGTGATTATTTACGATGATTATTAATGATTTGGGTGAGGAAAGTGAGTGCACTACAGCCAGGTTTGTGGATGATTCAAAAATAGGTGGGAAGGCAAATGGTAAGGATGACACAAAGAAACTGCAGAAGATATAAGCAGGTGAAACAAGAGGGCAAAACCTTGGCAGACGGAATATAATGTGGGAAAACATGAAGCAATGTAATTTGACAGTAAGAATAGAGGAGCTGAATATCATGTAAATGGAGAAGAACTGTAGGAAGCTACTGAAGTGTGTTTTGGAAGTCTTAAAGAATCTCAAAGAGTTAGCTTCCAAGTTCAGCGGGTAATAGGGAAGGCAAATGGAATATTGGCCTTTATTTCAAAGGAAATGGAGTACAAAATTAGGGATGCTTTGCTAAAACTATGCAAGGCACGAGTCAGGCCACAGATGGAATACTGTGAATAGTTTTGGGCCTCTTATCTAAGGAAAGATAGGGTGGCATTGGAGGCAATCAAAAGATTGTTCACTTGGCTGATACCACGTTTGGAAGGACTGTCTTATGATGAAAGGTTGAGGAAGTTAGGTCTGTACTTGTTGGAATTTAGAAAAATTAAAGGCAATTTTATTGAAACATATAAGATTCTTAGAGGATTTGGCAAGGTAGATGCAGAAAAGTTGAATCCCTTTGAAGGAAAGTCTAGTTCCAGAGGGCATAATCTGACAATAAAGGGTCACATATTTAAGGCAAACATTTGGAGAATTCATCTCTCAGAGAGTATTGAATCTGTGGAATTCTTTCCTGCAGACGCTGGGTCATTAAGTATATTCAAGACAGAGATAGACTGATTTTTTTAGTAGTAAGGTTTATGGTGAAAAGGCAGGAAAGTGGAATTGAGGCTGATCAGATCAACCATAATCTCATTAAATGACAGAGTTGTTGGGCTAAATGGCCTACTACTGCTCCTATATTTTATATTCTCATTTCCTGTGTTCTGCATACTCATGGTGCATCGGGTATAATTTCTAAATTGCAACCCATGACTTTAAGTGATTCTCCCACTGGAAGGAATGGGTGTCACAAATGAAACACTGGGCTGACTTTTCCAGTGTTGAGTTTAAATTGTTTCGTTGTGTGAAATTCACGTTGACTGAACAACCATGGCTCGCAGTGACTTTCTCACACAATCTTCCGCCAACCACTTTGACTGGAATCAGATGGACCCCTTAACTGGGTACCCACTGACTGACCAAAATCTCACTATGGATTTGTTCCCTTTGACTTTCAGATATGGCCATTTCA